TTATACTATAGGCATAATTAACTATTTAACCAATATTAAAATAAAATAAAAATTAATAAACACATTTTCATCAAACCAATCATTCTAAACTTCTAAGGGGGAGGGAGTCATGAAAAAAAGAGGGAGAGGTACTCATGCTACCCCAAGACACCACTTCTTCATCAGTAGGTTGGAAGTGGTGGGTTATTTTTGTGGTTTCGTCAACCCGCTTCCTCATACATTTTCTACTATCTTTCTCTTTTTTTCTCTTGTACCATATGTTTCAAGTCTTGTACCTTAGTTGTTTTCTATTTTTTTTAAAAATTTTGTGGGTTGAGTGAGATGAAAAAGATAAGGTTTCTATGTGTTGTGGGTTAGAAACATTGGAAAGAGAGGAGAGAGAAAAAATAATAGGGAACTGATGTAGCAGCGAGTTGAGTGGGTTGGGAGGAAAGGACCCCCTCCTCCTTAAAGTTGTAGGAGTAGAACTATCCTAACCCACAAACTCATTGCTATATCAACTTTTCTTTCTCTTATTTATTCTTTCTTTTCCAACTCACAATAAATGAAAATAGTATATTTCCCAACTCACTTGCCACGTCATTATTATTAATTTAATTAAACTAAAAAATATAAAATTAAATAAAACATAACATTTTTTTAATTAAAAAAAATAGTATAAATAAAAAAATATACGATAATTAAAAAAAACAATAAAAAAACTACACAATAATTCTAAAACTCCCAACCATATACAATTTTCTATTTCCGTTCAAATACCGTTCATAGAACCATGGTTTTGAAAACCGGACTGAAGACCGAACCGGCTGCCTTTAACCGGTCCCACCGGTCGGACCGGTCTCAAAAACCGGAAAAACCGGATGATGCCATAATTACATTATTAATTTTTATTTTATTAAAAAATACAAAAATTGAAAAAAAATATATATATCTTTTAAAATTTGGCTTTACCGGTTCAACCGGATCGGTTTGACCGACTTTTATTGGTTTTTACCGGTTCACAACACAAATGATTTTTTGGCCTCTAAGAACCAGATCTGGACCGGTTCCTGATTAAACCGGTTGAATCGGCCAATCAAAACATGACATATAACTCCTCCTTGACGTCAAGTGATCATGCGAGTTGAGAAAAAAGTTGCATCTCTCTCCTTTATCTCGAGCTCCAACAACTTAGTTTTCTGTTCTTAATTTCTCATGTAAGTCACAAATTTTCATCCTGATATCGTTTTATCTCTTCTGTCTCTACTTTGTTTATAGTGTGGATGCCGACAATTTCGTTGACCAGATCAGCAATTGCATTTGGTGTTGATGATCTGGATGTCGCTTTCTTTCCTTTTCGTTGTCTCCGAGGTGACGATTTTATTTCATGGTGTTGTTGGTTGAATCGGGGTGGACATTATGCATGAAGATCTTGTGTAGGCGTTGGATGAAGATGTCTTGGTTCCTTTAGAAGAAGGAGGCGATGATTATTCACCAACTTTTTTACCTTGCAACCATTTTGCATGGTGTTTCAAAAATCCCAAACTTTTTCATGAAGAATTTTTTTTTTGATTACTAAGCCTCTGATACTTATTTTGTGGATCTTTTAGAGCATCGACCTCAGATCTCTCGGTAGCGAGTCTGTTCATCTTACATTTGAAGATGTTGAAATCATTGCATTTCTTTTGAAGGTATTTCCATTTTGAGTTTACTTGATTCCATGTCCAATCAGAACCACCTAGTTAAGCATTAAAATATTCTAAAACTCGCTCCCAAAATGCATCCGACCTTTGTTGATTTCCACATTGTTTATCATAAGAAACATCGACATACACCCTAGCCAAAACCACCTCTTCCCTTTCTAACCTTTTTTTTTACTATTGGCGAATTGTGTAGTCGCATTTGTTCCCGACAACTGGTTGCTGCTCCTCGCTATCTTCTTCTTCGGGAGCGGTCTTGTTACTAGAATCTGATGATTCTAAGTTTTGAGCATCACAAAACTAGGATAACTCGGGTAGAGAAATTTTGAATTAGGTTTCAGGAACCCTTGAGGATACTACATGTATTGAGTATACCTCGTTTTTCCTATGGAAAACGAAATTAGTTGTAGGCTTGTTGCACCGAGTATTGGTTAAATAGTTTTGGTATTGTTGATATTGATAGTGTGGGTTTTGTTTCTAGTTTAGGTTTTGGGATTCTGGAGAAGAAAAAAAGAATTTCTAGAGTATGACCGCCTTGCTTGGATTTATGTTTTTGGCTAGAACCACCTTGTTTCGATTTGCCTCAGGAATCCGTCGAATGGAATTGAAGAGGTGTGGAATGCAATTAGATAGGTTAATGGAATTTGATATGTGAATTAAGAGAAATATAAAGGAGTTAATGTGATTATATAAGGGAATTGTTGGTTTATATATTAATAAAACGTTTAGAATGTATATCGTCGGTACCGTCGACCCAACGCCCTCAGCCCGCTGCCACTCCGTCCACCCTAATTCAACTTTGCTCGATGTTCTCGATTTTCCAAAAAAAAAACAATAACAGTTTTTAATTTTATAAAATTAAATATGTTAAATAATAGCAAATAATAGAAGGTTGGGACTTTTAACTTTTCAAATTCTAATAGTTTTCAAAACCACTATTCACCTTTTAACTTTTAATATATTTCAAAACAACTATTCATCTTCATAATCTATGAATTATGACTTGTGAAAGAAAAAGAAAAAGATAGAACAAAAATAGAGAGATAATCATACAAGTTTTTTCTCCAGTGGAGAGAGCTTGTGTTTTGAAGGTCGCCAGTCGAAAAGGTAGAGGGTGCGACAAACATCGTAGATCATATACAATTAGCTAAGGTAAACAAAAAGGGCATATAGGAGTTGGCAAACGGTGGAGGTGAGCACTCTAGCGGCCGTAATATTTTCCGGTGAGATTAACAACTCTTTTCTTGGTTGCAACAAAAATTTGTTAGGGTTTCATATTATCCCAAATATTAATAACCGCTTATCTGAATAGTTAATATTTATATGGTTTTATGTAGTTTTAGTTTCTTAATTAAAGGGTATGTCTAATAAAATAGGATTTATTTAATTTTTTTTTCGTGATTTTCTGGTTTTTAGTTTATTATTTATCTAGTTTCCTAACTTTTAAATATGCTAATAATATATTGATTGGTATTATGTTTTTTTAAGTTAAAGTACATATGTAAAGGGAAGTTTAAATTTTAGGAATGACCATAAGATAAATTATATGATTTTTTGAAGTTGGTTAAATGTATATACACCTATTGTTAAAAAAAGGGGGGAGGGGGGGCATGGCCCCTCTGGCCCTCGATAGCATCCACGATTTGATGGAATTGATTCTTAATCTTTCGATTTTGTAGTGAAACAGAGAGAAGTGAGACCGAAAAGAAGTTAGTACGTTCGAATCTGATTCATACATTTATGGGTGTATCACAAAGTAACCATGCACCCCTTATGTAATAGTTATGTCACCCACATTCATCACATGCCAACATTACATAAGTATAAGGGATGTCATAATGGCAACTTTAGGATATAAACTATAAGTATATCCTAAATAACGAAACATTACGTAAATGGTCCAAGGTCATCTATCTAACATTGTCATTTCTCCCTATAATACTAGATTTTGTAGATAATATTAACCGAGTAAAGTAATTAAATGGTTTTTGAATTATTGTCAAATGCCTTTGTCTTCCCTAGACTTATGTCATGTTCCCAAATTCAATTTGACAAGGGAAAAGAAAGAAAATGGATGAAAGTGAGAAGAAAGTATAAGAAATTAGTGTTTGTAGTTTCATTAAAGAAAGGATGTGAGAATAAATGGAATGAAACTTTATCTCGTAACTTTCCTTCCAATTTGGAAGGATTTGGAAAGAAATGAACACAATGTTTAATTTTTCTTTCACTTATCTCCAACTCAGGAACACAAAAATAAAACTTTTTTACACTTTTATTTCTCTTATTTTCTCTTCTTACTTTCTTTCCCCTTCTTTGCTAAAACCTGAGAACTAAGCGTTAAGCAAACTTTTTACTTCTTTCACTCTACTTTATCTGTTCGATAGAAATACCACACAACAAAACCCTTAATTAGTTTTATATCCTACTTATAGACTTTATATATTTGCATACAATTGGTTTAGTTTAATCCAACTAGTACTAATATCAGAGCTTCATTTTGAGTATGTCCAAGTATATGCCAAAGATACAACAATGACATCGCATTCAATAGAATGGAGAGTTCAATATTGAACTCTACATTCTCTCTCCACACACACACACACTCTCACACACACACACAAATATATATATATATATATATATATATAT